GGTTAGATGGGACATTGGGAAGGAATTGTTCCCTGGGAGGGTGGGGAGGCCCTGACCCAGGTTGCCCAGAGAAGCTGTGGCTGCCCCTGGATCCCTGGAAGTGTCCAAGGCCAGGTTGGACGGGGCTTGGAGTAACCCTGTCCTGAGCTTTAAGGTCCCTTCCAACCCAAACCATTCCAGGATTCCATGACTGTAGGACACACACCTAAAGACCACTTGACAAGTCTTCCTGTAAAGACAAAATACACAAAATCTCTTCACGGGCCAAGGAATCCTCAGACCTTGAGGCAAATTTATGGCAAGTTTTAGGTGAATGATGCTTTTTTACCATCCTCTGTCCCTTCCCAGCTCTCTCATTTCCTTGCTCAGCATTCCCTGTGCCCAGCACAGTTCATGCTGTCCGTAAAATGAGAGATGTCTAAGGAAACACAGTGGATTTAAATCATTCATCTGAAATGTTATAGCACCACTGCTCCATACTCCAACCATCAATGTACAACCAGTTTATACATCTGAATCACAGCAGTAAAAGGGTGGAAAACTGGACAGCAAAAAATACAATAATAAAGATGAAAATAAGTACTTTAATAGGTTTGCTATTAATCAGTCTTCCTGGTGACAAATATTATTTACCACACATTTAACTGTTTTCAGTAAAAGATTTCTCAGTCTCAATTGCCACAAAAAAAATACACATAAAAGCAGAAGGAAAAACCAGATAAGAAATTTTCAAGCAGAATGTAAAGACATTTAAACTTTACTTTCCTCTCCTCAACCAAGGCATCAAACAGTTTCACATGTACTGAAAGCAGACAACTGAAATAAAAACTTTTGCTCACTTCTCTGAAAGGCCCCAGGGAAAGAAGGGAAATTCCTTGTTCTAACCACGCAGGGAGAAAGAAAAGGATAGGGGAAAAAACTGAATTTTTGCCTGTAATTAATGTATTTTCCTGCTAGTTTTGGTTATTTTCATGCAGAAATTAAGGATTTTTTATTTTCTTTAATTTTTTTTTGGAGTGTGCCAGAGAGCAAACACAATCTAAACTGTTAACTAATATGTTTTGGGGTTCTTTTCAGTAGTAAGATCAAGCCAATTCTTCACAAAATGGGGAAATGAGAAAGTACAAACTGAGGCTATTGGTATATTTTATTTGTACATTTTCATGCAGCTGCACTCAGTTAAAAAAAAAAATAAGAAAACCATCTCAATCCCTTCTTACCCTCAGGATAATAAAAGCAAAGTGGCAACTCCCTGAGGGCACTTCCAGTGCTGTAGCAACATTTGCATTTTGGTAGCAGGATGACATGATTCATAAAGGAAAATCTGTCTTGATCCTCTCTGAAATCAGCCTGATTATTATAATAAATGATTATGAGCCCGTGCAGATTTTCTGAGGTCACTGTTCTTTTTCTAACCTCCTTCCTCACATCAGAGAGTGGTTTTTATGAACTAATCATATCTGACCTGGGTCATTTCCCTGTGGGAACTGTCAGGGCTGAGCAGAGGATCTCAAAGGATCCTCACCCCGGGGATGAGCTCGGGTTACATGGGGAGTTTGTTCCATGTGCCAAGAACAAGCCATCAAAATCACTGTATTACAGTTCAAAAAAATGGAAAAGAAAGGTCAGTTTTGCCTTTGAGGTCGTTATAAAGAAGAAGAAAATTGAAATCAGGCAGCACAAACCCACCTTCCCAGCCTAAGGAAACCCTGGGGATTTATACAGAAAAAGATGAGCAACTTTCCAAACAGCACAGCAGCCCAAAAGCATTCTCATGGAATCACAGAATGACCTGAGCTGGAAAGGACCTTAAAGCTCATCTTGTTCCATCCCCTGCCATGGGCAGGGACACCTCCCACTAGCCCAGGTTGCTCCAAGCCCTGGACACCTGGA